TCCAGGAAATTATCCATTTCTTCTAGATTTTTCAGTTTATTTGCGTAGAGGTGTTTATAGTATTCTCTGATGGTAGTTTGTATTTCTGTGGGGTTGGTGGTGATATCCCCTTTATCATTTTTTATTGCGTCTATTTGATTCTTCTCTCTTTTCTTATTAGTCTTGCTAGCTGTCTGTCAATTTTGTTGATCTTTTCAAAAAACCAACTGCTGGATTCATTGATTTTTTGGAGGGTTTTTTGTGTCTCTATCTCCTTCAGTTCTGCTCTGATCTTAGTTATTTCTTGCCTTCTGCTAGCTTTTGAATGTGTTTGCTCTTGCTTCTCTAGTTCTTTTAATTGTGATGTTAGAGTGTCAATTTAGATCTTTCCTGCTTTCTCTTGTGGGCATTTAGTGCTATAAATTTCCCTCTACACATTGCTTTAAATGTGTCCCAGAGATTCTGGTATGTTGTATCTTTGTTCTCATTGGTTTCAAAGAACATCTTTATTTCTGCCTTCATTTTGTTATGTACCCAGTAGTCATTCAGGAGCAGGTTGTTCAGTTTCCATGTAGTTGAGCGGTTTTGATTGAGTTTCTTAGTCCTGAGTTCTAGTTTGATTGCACTGTGGTCTGAGAGACAGTTTGTTATAATTTCTGTTCTTGTACATTTGCTGAGGAGTGCTTTACTTCCAATTATGTGGTCAATTTTGGAATAAGTGTGATGTGGTGCTGAGAAGAATGTATATTCTGTTGATTTGGGGTGGAGAGTTCTATAGATGTCTATTAGGTCTTCTTGCTGCAGAAATGAGTTCAATTCCTGGATATCCTTGTTAACTTTCTGTCTCGTTGATCTGTCTAATGTTGACAGTGGAGTGTTGAAGTCTCCCATTATTATTGTATGGGAGTCTAAGTCTCTTTGTAAGTCTCTAAGGACTTGCTTTATGAATCTGGGTGCTCCTGTATTGGGTGCATATATATTTAGGATAGTTATCTCTTCCTGTTGAATTGATCCCTTTACCATTATGTAATGGCCTTCTTTGTCTCTTTTGATCTTTGATGGTTTAAAGTCTATTTTATCAGAGACTAGTATTGCAACCCCTGCTTTTTTTTGTTCTCCATTTGCTTGGTAAATCTTCCTCCATCCCTTTATTTTTAGCCTATGTATGTCTCTGCATGTGAGATGGGTCTCCTGAATACAGCAGACTGATGGGTCTTGACTCTTTATCCAGTTTGCCAGTCTGTGTCTTTAAATTGGGGCATTTAGTCCATTTACATTTAAGGTTAATATTGTTATGTGTGAACTTGATCCTGCCATTATGATATTAACTGGTTATTTTGCTCGTTAGTTGATGCAGTTTCTTCCTAGCCTTGATGGTCTTTACATTTTGGCATGTTTTTGCAATGGCTGGTACCGGTTGTTCCTTTCCATGTTTAGTGCTTCCTTCAGGGTCTCTTGTAAGGCAGGCCTAGTGGTGACAAAATCTCTAAGCATTTGCTTATCTGTAAAGGATTTTATTTCTCCTTCACTTATGAAACTTAGTTTGGCTGGATATGAAATTCTGGGTTTAAAATTCTTTTCTTTAAGAATGTTGAATATTGGTCCCCACTCTCTTCTGGCTTCTAGAGTTTCTGCCGAGAGATCTGCTGTTAGTCTGATGGCCTTCCCTTTGTGGGTAACCCGACCTTTCTCTCTGGCTGCCCTTAAGATTTTTTCCTTCATTTCAACTTTGGTGAATCTGGCAATTATGTGTCTTGGAGTTGCTCTTCTCGAGGAGTATCTTTGAGGCATTCTCTGTTATTTCCTGGATTTGAATGTTGGCCTGCCCTACTAGGTTGGGGAAGTTCTCCTGGATGATATTCTGAAGAGTGTTTTCCAACTTGGTTCCATTTTCCCCCTCACTTTCAGGCACCCCAATCAGATGTAGATTTGGTCTTTTTACATAATCCCATACTTCTTGCAGGCTTTGTTCATTTCTTTTTCTTCTTTTTTCTTTTGGTTTCTCTTCTCGCTTCATTTCATTCATTTGATCCTCAATCGCTGATACTCTTTCTTCCAGTTGATCGAGTCGGTTACTGAAGCTTGTACATTTGTCACGTATTTCTTGTGTCATGGTTTTCATCTCTTTCATTTCGTTTATGACCTTCTCTGCATTAATTACTGTAGCTATCAATTCTTCCACTTTTTTTTCAAGATTTTTAGTTTCTTTGCGCTGGGTACGTAATTCCTCCTTTAGCTCTGAGAGGTTTGATGGACTGAAGCCTTCTTCTCTCATATCGTCAAAGTCGTTCTCCGTCCAGCTTTGATCCATTGCTGGCGATGAGCTGCGCTCCTTTGCCGGGGGAGATGCGCTCTTATTTTTTGAATTTCCAGCTTTTCTGCCCTGCTTTTTCCCCATCTTTGTGGTTTTATCTGCCTCTGGTCTTTGATGATGGTGATGTACTGATGGGGTTTTGGTGTAGGTGTCCTTCCTGTTTGATAGTTTTCCTTCTAACAGTCAGGACCCTCAGCTGTAGGTCTGTTGGAGATTGCTTGAGGTCCACTCCAGACCCTGTTTGCCTGGGTATCAGCAGCAGAGGCTGCAGAAGATAGAATATTGCTGAACAGCGAGTGTACCTGTCTGATTCTTGCTTTGGAAGCTTCCTCTCAGGGGTGTACTCCACCCTGTGAGATGTGGGGTGTCAGACTGCCCCTAGTGGGGGATGTCTCCCAGTTAGGCTACTCAGGGGTCAGGGACCCACTTGAACAGGCAGTCTGTCCCTTCTCAGATCTCAACCTCCGTGTTGGGAGATCCACTGCTCTCTTCAAAGCTGTCAGACAGAGTCGTTTGCGTCTGCAGAGGTTTCTGCTGCTTTTGTTGTTTAGCTGTGCCCTGTCCCCAGAGGTGGAGTCTACAGAGACAGGCAGGTTTCCTTGAGCTGCTGTGAGCTCCACCCAGTTCGAGCTTCCCAGCGGCTTTGTTTACCTACTTAAGCCTCAGCAATGGCGGGCGCCCCTCCCACAGCCTCGCTGCTGCAGCCTCGCTGCTGCCTTGCCAGTAGATCGCAGACTGCTGTGCTAGCAATGAGGGAGGCTCCATGGGCGTGGGACCCTCCCGGCCAGGTGTGGGATATAATCTCCTGGTGTGCCCGTTTGCTTAAAGTGCAGTATTGGGGTGGGAGTTACCTGATTTTCAGGTTTTTTGTGTCTCAGTTCCCCTGGCTAGAAAAAGGGATTCCCTTCCCCCTTGCGCTTCCACCCTGCTTCAGCTCTCGCTGGTCGGGCTGCAGCAGCTGACCAGCACCGATTGTCCGGCACTCCCTAGTGAGATGAACGCAGTACCTCAGTTGAAAATGCAGAAATCACCGGTCTTCTGTGTCGCTCGCGCTGGGATTTGGAGACTGGAGCTGTTCCTATTCGGCCATCTTGAAAGTTCAGTTTTTATGCATTTATTTTCATTTTCTTGGTTGCTTTGGATAGATTTCAGAAGAAATGAAAACTTTCAAACTAACCAGACTTCATATTCTTTTAGAATGCTAATGTAATTCATTTCTGTTCCATGTTTTCAAAAAATATGAAGAAGTTCTAGGGAAGTACTCTGATTATTGGCTTCAGATAATGAAGATGAATGTTAGAGTTGTCAGTAGCCCACTTAGAGTCAGTTATGTAGATGTTCACATCTGCAATGACACCAAGGCTATAACTAGAAGGTAATATCCTAAAGCAGTTTTTATAGAAAATCATTTGCAGTATACAGTGTAGATTTTTTTAAAATAAAATGAAAGCACCTCAGTGAGGTGCTTTCAACATTTTATTCTGGTATACTAAAAAGAAGACTTAGTCAAAATGTTTCTCCTGAACCCAAGCAACAGGAACACTACAAAAGTGTTTGAGAAGATATCATTCCAATCCAGGTGGATTATGGGTGAGGGAATATTATAATAATTCTCATTTTAGTTCTGGAAATTTTAATCTATGTTCAATTTCTTTTTAAAGATTACTAACATTCTATTTTGCTAGTCAGTTGCAAATAATTTTGTACCCAGAGCAAGTTCCAGCATTACCTGGGAACTACATCTCCATCTTTTCTATGCCTTACTCTCTGATGAGAACAAAATCAAAGTAGAAGCCACAGAGATATGCTGAGCAATATGTTAGACTATGAATAGTATCAGAATGCAGATGTTGTTTTACTATATACTGTACTAGTTATAACCAAGTGACTTAAAATAGGAAGAGGAAAAGCTGAGCATGTGGCAGTCACTTGGATGTAGGGTTGGAGTTCAGTATACCTTGATGGTGGTAACCCCAGTGAAACACCTCCTCCTCTGGGATAGGACCCCAGGAAGTGTAGGCCAAAAGTGGGGAGAGGGACTAGAATTATCTGGTTGGCTCAGAAATCCTCAAGCATTGATTCAGGACTATTGGCACCCTTTAGCACCCAATGGAAGGAAAAGAAGCTCCTCTCTGTAGGAACATTACATCATCTAGTGCTTCAAATTGTTTATATTAAATCAGTTTTTCCAATAAAATGAACTGCAAACAATCAAAATTAATGGATGCAGGAAGAGTAAGCATGAGTCAGGCACCAGGAGAAACAACAGACAAAATAAACAGAGTTAATAACAAAGTCAGAAAACCACTATGCTTACTATGTTCATGAAAGAAAAAGTCAAGCATATAAATGTTGTCAAGGAACTAGAAATCATAAAAAGTGACATTCAAAATTTTAAAAAGAACCAAACAGGAATTATAAAACTAAAAAATGTAATAACTAAAAGAACAAAGACTAAGGGTGAATTTTAGAGCAGGTTAGGGACACCTAAAGAGATAATGAGTGACTGGAAGATAAGTTAAAAAGAAAACCAATATTTTTAAAGGATTTAAATCATACACAGTTCTAAAGTGACAATTTATATGTGTTAGAAATCAATAAGAAAAGGATAATCACATTATTTGCATATGTTTGGAAACTGAGAAACTTACTTCTAGGCTGGGCGCCGTGGCTCACGCCTGTAATGCCAACACTTTGGGAGGCTGGCAGATGGCTTGAGTCCAGGAGTTGGAGACCAGCCTGAGCAACATGCAGAAGCCTTGTCTCTACAAAAAACACACACACAAAAAAAAAAATTTAGCTGGGCGTGGTAGTCTGCACCTGTAGTCCCAGCTATTTAGGAGGCTGGGGTGGGAGAATCACCTGAGCCTGGGGAGGTTGACGCTGTCATGAGTAGTGATAGCACGACTGCACTCCTACCTGGGCAACAGTGTGAGACTCTATCTGGGAAAAAAAAAAAAAAAAAAAAAAAGAAACCTACTTCTAAATCTATGCATCAAAAAAATCATGAGGAAATTAGATGATGTTTTAAATTCAATGGTAATAATACATATCAAGACTTGTGTAAAGAAGTTAAAACAGTATTGATGGAGAAATGTGTGGCTTTTAATGTACATATTTGTAAAGAAGTTAGTAAAAGAACAGCAAAATAGAAAGTAGAAAGAAATAATAAAGAAAATAGAATAATTTAAATAGATAAAAATAAAATAAAAACTATGTACAAAACTCAGGTCCTCTGAAGGATAGAACACTGGTGAGACTGATTAACAAAAGAGAGGAGTCACTAATAATTGATGCCAAGAATGAAGAGAGGGACACTGGTTCAGATCTTGCACACCTTAAAAACATGAGGTTGTTATGAACATGTAAATGGTATGAAAATTTAGATGAAAACCAAAAATATCTATATTAGATGTGATACATAATAGCGAAACATGGAAAGTCTTTCTTTTGAAACTGGAAATGAGATATTTTTGCCTGCTAACACCTCTTTTTAAGTCCTGACCCTGTAGTAGCACAAGAAAAAAAAAGGAATAAAAAATGAAGGAAAACTCGCTATTTGAAAATGTATGATTGAGTGCATTGACAACCCAAACACATATACATTTATATTTTTATGGATAAGAAATTTTAGCAGGGTTGCTGTATATAAAAATTAGTTTGGAAAAATTAGCTCATTACATATATATTTAAGCAACAAAAAAGGAAAATGAAATATTAAAAAGATACTATTTACAATAGTGTCAGAAATATCAAAAATATATATAAAGAGATCTAATAAAAGATCAGTGAAATTTCTGCAAAGCAACAAATAAAATTCTATTAAGAAACATTACAGAAGACCTAAAGGAATTGAAAATCATGATTGGAAGGCTCCATGTTGAAGAGGTCTCTTGTCTCTCAGGTTAATGTATGGATTTGATGCAATATCATCCAAAATCCTAAAAGACCTTTGTTGTTGTTGTTGTTGTTGTTGTTGTCTTATTGTTCATTTGGTTGGTTTTTCTTTTTTCTGGAACTTAAGCTGATTCTCAAATGTATAAGGAAATACAAAGGGTCAAGAATAACCAAGTCTGTGTTTTGATTAAACAAAAATAAGGTAGAAGATCTATACTTCTAGGTTATCAAAATTATTCTAAAACACTTTTATGAGTGTGGAATTGGCAAAGAACAATGGAAAGACTAGGGTTCAGAAACAGACCTACATATATACAACTTGATTTATGACAAAGGTGACACTGTAGGAAAGTGGAATATGGATAGATTTTCCAGTGAATGGTACTTGGTCAAATGGGTAGCATATACAAAATAAAATTGAACCTCAACAACTGTGCACAAAAATCAATCATAATCTTAAATGGGAAAGGCAATACAATGAAGCTATTACAAGATAATGTAGAAAAATATCTTCATGATTTGGGGATAAGGAACTTAAGTTACAAAAATCATCAGGCAGAAAAGAAAAGATAGATACATACATTTTTTTTCCTCATTAAAAGACTTTAAATAAAAGTTGCCACTGCAGGGTCAAAAGGCAAATTATGAAGTAGGCAAAGATGTATGCAATATGTAAAACTGTGAAAAGGCTGTCATTCAGAAAACATGAATGACTACTACAAATCAACAGAAAAAGACACAGTCCCAATAGAAAAATACGCAAGAGACCTAACTAGGAACTTCCAAACAGGAAATCCAAAAGATCAATTAATATATAATCTCATTAGTAACTAAGAATGTTCAAATTAAAATCACAGTGAGATACCATACATAGCTATTTGATCTTTTTTAGAAAGTATAATATCAAATGGTAGGTAAAGATACAGAACTCTCATATATTGCTTATGGAAGTATAAAAGTTGGAAGTATCTAGTAAAGTTGAAGCTATACCTACCTTAAAACTTAGCAATTCTGTTTACATATGTAAGCAAGGAGCTGGAAGTTCTCCATCTTAACAACATATATCTTACTGACCGGCAGTCACATATGTATCAGGATACATGTACAAGAATAAGAATGTTCATGGCAACATTATTTTAATAGCCCTAAACTGGAAACAACCCATATGTCTATCAATAATAGAATGGATAAATTGTAGTTTATTTATACCATAATGAAGAGAAAGAATTAAACTACATACAAGTAGACCTTTGAAAAACAGAGTGAATGAACCCAAAGAAAACAGAATATAAATTATATGAGTCCACTTATATAAAGTTCAAAAACAGCAAAACAAAACAAAACAAAAGTTAAAGAACTATGTGGCAAAACTATAATAAAAAATGAGGTAAAAAAATACCATAAAAGTCAAGATAACTGCTCCTGCTAGCCGGGAGATGGGGTTTATGATGAAGAAGGGGCAGGTGGTGACTTTCTGGCATGTTGTTAATCAGGGCCATCTACATAATTTGTGGGGTCCAGAACAAACATCTTTTTTCTCTCCCTCTCCTTCTCCTCCGATGGTGTTTTCTTATTTGCCGTTTAATGTGGCACTCCCTTGGGCACAGGTGGAAAACTGACCCTCACAGGAGCTAGGGGCCTGACCCCTGATTCAGAGGAAATGGGGAGGATCCTGTGCCTCAACCAGACACTTCCTGCACTGTACCTCCTGCTCAGCCTCTGCCAGAGCAGAGGGTGGGGTAGCATGGAGTGGAGAGAATGAGTAGCCAGAACTCATTCTGGGGAGGAAGGGAGGTGGCAGGAGGCCCATGATGCCTGAATCAATGCATTGTCCCATTGATACTTATAAAATGCAAATTCAAAGATAAAATTATTGAAAATTACATGAGGGTGATTGCAGAGCATTAAATGTCAAGCAGGATGGAGGAGTACGAGAGTGGAGTGTGTTGGCTTCTGAGCTTGGCACCCTGTGCCACTGAAAGTCCCTGAAGCTGGCCCTTTCAGCAATGTTCTGTTTCCTGACCTGGATAGCAGCTATACGAATGTGCATTTTACCATAACTGCTTGTCTCAGTTCATTTGTGCCACTATATCAAAATAGTTGAGACGGAGTAATTTATAAAAACCAGAAATTTATTTTCTCAAGGTTCTGGAGGCTGAGAAGTTCAAGATCAAGGTTTGATCTTGGTGTTTGGTAGAGGCTGCTCTGTGCTTCCAAGATGGTGCCTCTTGCTGCATCCTCACATGGTGGAAGAGATGGAAGGGGTAAACTCGCCCCCTCTATCCCTTTCTTAAGGCGCAAATCACATTCATGAGGGTGGAACCCTTGTGGCCTCACCACCTCCTAAAGCCCCACCTCTTAGTACTGTTGCATTGGGGATTGAGTTTCACAGTGAATTTGGGAGGGGACACACACAAACATTAAAACCACAGCACTGCTTATACTGGATATTTATGCTTCATACAATTTTCTGTATGACAGCTGAGTTTAAAACTAGGTAAAGGAAAGGTGGTGTAAAACAGAATGAACTTTTGCTGTAAAATAAAGAATTATTCACATATAGAGATGTAAATACTAGTAAATGCATATTTTTTTTCTAGAAGGAAACATAAGAATCTGTTAACACTGGTTGCTTTAAGGGACAGGGATTTGAGGAGATGAGGTAAAACAGGCTTTTGTTTTTCATATGAACCTTTTTATATTATTTGAATTCTCTATTGTGTTCATGTTGGGATTATTGGCCAATTTATATGTTTTTGTAAATTAAATAAAATTATTTAGTTGCTTATTTTAAAATAAAGCCAGAAATATGCAATCATGTTAAAAGCCTATAGGGAAGAGAGGCAGGGATATATACTTTTTTAAGAACCATATTTTGAACCATTTTAGAAAGCAGAGTATTTTTGTTGATATGAACAGCCCCACTATAATTAAGGTTTCATAGATCTATATTTTTCACCTACTCTACTCTGAGGTAGATTTACCATGAAGCTAAAGGATTCAAACTTCAGAGTCCCTCACTTGGACAGACCCTTATAAAGGCCTGTACCTAATTTTGCATTCATAATTTTATATGCTTCTTTAAAAAGACCTTTCAGATTGTATAATCTTGAAGCCCCCCTAAAATCTGATTCCAACCTTGACGGTGAGGTACACTCAAATCAAAGAGTTCTAACACCTGCCTTAAATATGAAGATTTATAGAAATAAGTAACAAAACATGGTTGTAAAAATGTATCTAAACAAATAGATTCACTGAAGATATACTTTAAATCTGGCAGTGAGAATTAACATGTCCCCTACTCCAGGAATCTTTTCAACTTGCCAAAAATGAATCATTTCTTCCTATGTGCTATGCCTGTACTTTCTCTGTCATGTTATTCAGGTTTGTATTATGTGCTTGTCAAACTACCTGTCTGCCGTACTGGACAAGGAGCTCCCAAATAACTGGGACCCTCTCAATTACTTTTGTGTCTCCAGGGCCTAGAATAAGATTCTAGCATGCAACAAGTGACTGTTTAATAATATCTTTTTACAACCACTGTATTGTGTGTAAAGGAGGCATAGCTACCGTTCTTTACTTGAGTAAGCGTCATATGAAACTGATAACTATACATATACATACATGCACGCTTAAGGAGATACACAAAGTACTTATCAGTCAGCATCTTTCTTTTTCCTACTGAATTTACATGATTCGGTCACATTTTGCAGAAGATATCAGCTTTTTTAAGCAGAAGAACCAAACAATATCATGAATTATTTTAAAAATACATAAATGTACAAAGAAAAATATGAAAATTCAACATCCTACTGTCATGTTTCAGATATTTTTAATAAATAAAAACTTTAAAATTCAGAAGAAACCATCTTTAAGCCATTCCCAGTGTGAAAATTGATCATACAATCTGGATCATTCTTGTCATACCCAACTAAATCAGAATCCAGGGACCAGGGGAAAAAGCAACCAGGGCACACAGCTCTAGCATTAAGAATTAAGTTTTTTACAACCCAGCTGCTGAAACAGCCTGCAGTAACTCTAAGATCAGTTTTACTGAGTAGTTGCTGAAATAATCAGCTATGACTAAGACTGGTTTTACCTACCACTGTCACTCGCCAGAGCCTGCCAGCTTCCCAAAACTTTACTATAGTGCCAATGAACCTTCCTTCAAAACAGTAGTAACATTTCTCTTTCTAATAAAACTCTCAACCGTCTCTTTGTTCTTCTGACATACTAAAGACCACTCAGTCTATGTGTATGTCCTGAACTGCAATTCTTGCTTCCCCAAAAAACCATTAAATTTAGAAATTCATCTCTTTATATTTTATATTTACTTTGACACCATATACAAATTCCTAGGCCTCCTTCGTTGGAGATGAGCATCACCTTGAAGTTGGGATGTAGCCATCCCATCCATATATTCTCATTTTTACCACTTAAGAAAATATATTCATAAATATATAATATATATCCATAAATATATAATTATTGTGTGTTGTAATACTTTTTTTTTTTTTTTTGGAGACAGAGTCTCACTCTGTTGCTCAGGCTGGAGCGCAGTAGTGCAATCTCAGGTCACCGCAACCTCTACCTCCCGGGTTCAAGCAATTCTCCCTCAGCCTCCCGAGTAGCTGGGACCCCAGGCTTGCTTCACCACACCTGGCTAATTTTTGTGTTTTTAATAGAGATGGAGTTTCACCATTTTGGCCAGGCTGGTCTCGAACTCCTGACTTCATATGATCCACCCTTGGCCTCCCAAAGTGCTAGGATTATAGGCATGAGCCACTGCACCCTGCTGTGTTGTAATACTTTAAGCCAGTGTTATCTAATGCAACAGGTACAATTTATTGTAATATTTTGTTTAACCCGTTACATCCAAAATATTTAAACATATATAAAAATTTTTAATGTGCGATTCAATATTCTTTTTGAAAATTTCTTGTACTAAGTCCAGAAGTAAAAAAAAAAATCCAGCTGATATATACTTACAGCACATCTCAATTCACACGCTAAAGTTAGAGTTCATAAAATTTAAGTTGGAAAAACAGATTCATATATCTGAGTTGTTGCAAACATACTTAAAAGTATTCCAACAATTAAATCAAGTATCGTTTTTGTTTTTAGTTTAATTGAAATTCAATTAACGATTCAGTTTTTCCTTCTCAACCACACTTCAAGTACTGAGTAGCCACATATGGCTAGAGGACAGCCTACTGGACAGCGCAGCTTAAGGAGGTAGACAAAGTACTTATCAGTCGGCATCTTTCTTTTTCCTACTGAATTTATGTAATATTTAAATTGTTTTTCTTTGTCATATTCTAGAACCCAAACGCACAGACGCAATGGATACCTTTGATTTTCCGAGTCGATGGCATTTTGCATTTTAAAAGATCATCTGGGTGGGGTGGTGCGCCCCTGTAACGGGAGGCTGAGGCAGGAGACTCGCTTGAACCGGAGAGGCGGAGGTTGCAGGATCGTGCCACTGCACTCCACAGCACTCCATCCTGGGCGACAGAGTGAAACTCTGTCTCAAAAGAAAAAACAATTATTTATCACTAAATTTACTCACTAAAAGAACTTGAAAAACAAAACCCTACTGCCTAAAATATATTTTAAAACGTATTTGTGTTTAAGCAGCGTATATCTTCTGATAAATAATGACGCGTGGTAACTAGTAAAGGCAGAGCTTTCGTGTTAGCCACGCCCATCCCTCGCCCCGCCCTCCACAAGCACCTCCCCCCGCATGCACGCACGGACATACACGCGTACGCGGGCACACACACACGTACACACGCGCGCGCCCGCGAACACATACATATAAGCAAGAGCGCACAAACGCCGGCAGCGTGCAGGGGCGCGCGCGCCTGCCAGGTCTCAGGAAATGCGCTTTCTACTCCCCGCGCCGGTAGAGCTAATGCAGGGAAGTTTCTGGGAACAGTCGAGCAGCGTTTGTATTGGTGAGGTTCCAAGTCTCCTTTAAAATGATACGACTCCGCCCTTCTCCAAAACCGTTTGAGGAGAAATGGAAAAGGTTGGGCGTGGAGGTGAAAAGGAGCCCTGTTGTCAGCTGGTCCGTACTCCACCTCAGGAGGCGGCCAACTCCGTGCGTCCAAGAATAAAAACATTTCCCTTGTAGGAACATGCAAGGGTTTAGAAACGCCCCACCGCCCCCCGCGAGACGTTTGTGAGGAGGACCTGTCACAGTTGAGAAGTCAGGTTGGGCGTTTTCCTCCCAGGAGGTGCCCTATTAATTTGCTGCCTCGATAGTTGGTCAAGCCGGGATGTTAGCTGCGGAACCTCCAGGACCGAAGAGCGCCAATTCTCCTGAGTTCTCCTTGGTTTGGGTTTCCCACAAAAGCGCGGTCACACCAAAAGCTGTTTCCACAAATGCGAAACGGCCTCGAAACTTTTTTTTCCGCACACGCTCACTTCCCACACCACTCCCATCCCTTTATGTTTCGCCTCAGGAATCGAGTAACTTCTCTGAAACCCAATTCTACGAAATCCCAGCAGCTAAACACAGCGCGACTTCCCTAGAGACAGAGAGAGAGAAAACACTGTAAACCCCAATCACACGCTCCTGTTTTCCCGGTACTGAAAAAAAAAAAAAAAAAAAGTGGGTCCGTGGCCGCGCTATGCATGCTAGGATTAGTAGTTCCTCCATCCCGCAGGGCGAAGGGTCAGGGCGGAGCTCAGGTTGACTCCGTAGCAGACAACTACAATTCCCATGGGGCCGCGCGTGTGAAAGAAAGGGGCGGGACGGGAGGGGGCGCGTCGCGCTTGCGCAGTCCCCGGGGCCGGAGGGAGGCGGAGGCGTAGCGGTCCAACTGCTGAAGTCCCCATGTGACAGTGAGCGGGGTCCCGGCTCCAGAAGACGCTCGAGTCTGCGTCCGGGCCCTCAGCACTGTCCACTGTTCCGGGGCCAGCAGAGACCAGCAGGCCCGGGACGGTTGGTGTTTGACCGTGCCGCTAACTTGGTGTACAGAGTGAATTGCCGCTGCCGGAGCGGAGAGAAGCGGAGCGGCCAGGAGAGAGGGGATTTCTGTCAGCGCCGGCGCTCCGGAGCTCGGAGACATGAACGGCTTCACGCCTGACGAGATGAGCCGCGGCGGAGATGCGGCCGCTGCAGTGGCCGCCGTAGTCGCTGCCGCGGCCGCCGCCGCCTCCGCGGGGAACGGGACTGGCGCGGGCGCCGGGGCTGAGGTGCCGGGCGCGGGGACGGTCTCAGTGGCTGGGCCCCCGGGGGCGGCCGGGCCGGGCCCAGGGCAACTGTGCTGCCTGCGGGAGGATGGTGAGCGGTGCGGCCGGGCGGCAGGCAACGCCAGCTTCAGCAAGAGGATCCAGAAGAGCATCTCCCAGAAGAAGGTGAAGATCGAGCTGGATAAGAGCGTAAGTAACCGCGGGATCGCCCTGCCCTCCTGTCCCCTGGTGGGGCCCCAGGAGTCGGGCAAAGGCACGGATTGTCGGCGGGGTCTCCCAGACCTGGCTGCAGTGCGATCTCGTGGAGTCTGTGTTTGGAAGCAAATAACAAAGTCGCTGCAACTCCGACCGCCACCCCAACACACACACAACACGCACGCTGTCGTTCCCCTTTTCTTTCCCACCCTGCCCCCAGCCTCCCGCTGCCTGCGACTCTCCCGCGCACTGTCTTCCCTCTTCCTTCTCGTCTGCGACCAGGACACGAAACAAAGGGGACCGCCGGACCGAGGGCCCAGAGTAGTTTTCTTGCAGCCCGGCAGCTCTTCTGGAATGGAGGCGCCTTTGTTTTGCTGCCCAAGCTGGTGTTTGGCCCCGGGCGGTGCTAACTCCCCTCGTCTAGGGGAAAGTGGAGGACCTTCGCGATCAAGGCAGATCCTGTTCCTTTCTGTGTTCCGTCTCCTCCGGAGCGGAGTGAGAGGGAAGCCGAGCCCACCCGCCGCCTGGCAGTGAGCCGGGGTTGTAAACGGCGTTTGCGCTGTCAGCTCCGAGGGCAGCTGCTCCGATGGTGGGGAGCACGTAGCCTCTGCGGTTTTGCCATCCCCTTGGCAGCCATCAGGATTTCTTTTTTCCTCCTTCTGCGCGTCTTTTCGTTTGAGCGTCTAACAGCCGTTGCTACTTTTGGGAGATCTGGCTAGCGGTAAATGAATAACATGGTATTAAGAACCTACCGCAAGTCCTGCGTGTTTTTATCTTGCGCTTGGCTTAGAAGTAAATGTAAAAACCTGTTAGCTCAGTCCGTATTTGTTTCAAATGTTAGTCTACAGTTCGCAGGAGTGTGTGTAATTAAAGTTTTTGAAAAGTTTATTTGTGATACTTTTTTGCCCGTTTAAACAGTTTTCAGTGTTATCCGTGAGAAACTTTTCAGGTGAACTTGCATAATTTCAGATTGCTTTGGGAAAATGTGTCATAAATAAATACATTGATTTAATTTAATATTCAGAAAAGTTTACAACTGAAATTTAAATATAGTTATGAAGTCGATAGCTCATTTGTAAAAACGGATGGTTTTGTATCTGGAATATAATTTGGGCATTCAGTTGGAAAGACTGGAAAGCATACATTATGTTACTAAAATATGCTCTTCTTTAAGTAGAGAAAGTACTGTCAAGTAGCAAAAGTGTGGGCAGCGTCATCTTTCCCCTTATCAGTTAAAAATTCAACATGAACTAATTCACGTCATCCTCACTGCTATTTATTTATTTATTTATGTGAGACAAAGTCTCACTCTGTTGCCCAGGCTGGAGTGCAGTGGCGCGATCTCGGCTCACTGCAACCTGCACCCACCAGGTTCAAGTGATTCTCCTGCCGTAGCCTCCTGAGTAGCTGGGATTACAGGCTAGTGCCACCACGCCCGCCCAATTTTTTGTATTTTTAGTAGAGACGGGATTTCACCATTTTGGCCAGGCTTGTGTGGAACTCCTGAGCTCAAGAGGTGCTGGGATTACAGGCGTGAGCCACCGCTCCTGGCCCCTCACTGCAATTTGATGACAAAACCCAGAGGGTTGGAATTTCTCATTCTCCTCTCCCTCCCTCCCTTCACCCCTTCCCCAAATGGAACCAACCCCTCCTTCCCCATCCACCATCCTTTTAACAGTATTCCAGACATCTTATGTTTTAACAGGGTTTAGGATTTAAACGTATAAATATTTCATTGTGTTAACAATGGCCCCTCTTGACTGTCTTTATTTTTACTAACTCACTGTGGCATATGTGTTTTACTGATACATAGACACATTTTACTGTAATCATTAGCAGTGTGTGAAACTTTTCTGTTTCAGGCAAGACATCTTTACATATGTGATTATCATAAAAACTTAATTCAGAGTGTTCGAAACAGAAGAAAGAGAAAAGGGAGTGATGATGATGGAGGTGATTCACCTGTTCAAGATATTGATACCCCAGAGGTAGATGGGAGTTTTTTATGCTTAATATAAATCCTAAGTAGTGCATTCTGAAACCTTTATAAAAAGATATGAACAATCTTTTAAGTGTTTAAAACATTTGAGAAATCTGAAAATGAAAGCAAAATGAAATATAGCCAGTTGTCATGCATTTACACAGTTTGAATTGTTACATTTTAAATTGACAATTTTTGCAGCTCTGTTGTCACATAACTTACTCTTTTTTGACCTCAGTTTATATTATTAATCCCCAAAAGATTAGTGTTTAATAATTTATAGGTTTGATTATGTAAATTTTTAAAATAATTTTTTTATTTTAGAAGTAAATTTTTATTGTGCTGAAGTTAAAATGTTTGTTATTATACATATCGATGATAAATTTTCCACAAATTGTATGAACTAATTTATACATGTTAATTTTTTCTAGGTTGATTTATACCAATTACAAGTAAATACACTTAGGAGATACAAAAGACACTTCAAGCTACCAACCAGACCAGGACTTAATAAAGCACAGCTTGTTGAGGTATATATGATTTTTAAACTATTTGAACTATCTGCACAACCGAGAGGTTATTAAATACTAATGAAAGTGTTAATGTAGTATATGCAACAGTACATTTTAGTTAGAAAGAACAATGTTAAAAAATCTATTGTGGAAGAATCTAGTTGTCTAGAAATGTTTGTCTGCCACTTAGGAAATTCCTTTTTGTAATGACTACTCAGCAGATTGTGTACAGCACCTTCTGATACTGGTTTTCAAAATGTGTTGTTTGTTTTTTGAGACAAAGTCTCTCTCTGTCACCCAGGCTGGAGTGCAGTGGCACGATCTCGGCTCATTGCAACCTCTACCTCCCAGGTTCAAGCAATTCTCCAGCCTCAGCCTCCCAAGTAGCTGGGACTTCAGGTGTGCACCACCACACCATGCTAATTTTTGTGTAATATCTCTAGTAGAGATGGGGTTTCACCATGTTGGCCAGACTTGTCTCAAATTCCTGACTTCAAGTGATCCGCCCACCTCAGCCTACCAGAGTGCTGGGATCAGCAGTATGAGCCACCGTGCCTGGCCCTCAAAATGTTGAATGAGAGTTTTTTTAATCCTCACTTTAGAAATCTATTAGTTTTAAAACTCCATTTAACCAGTAAATGTTTGAGCATCTAATTGAGGCATAATAAATTTAATTAGCAAGCTTTAATGTCCTTATTAAAATTTATATTTTAAAGTGGTGGAGTAGGCCTACAAATCAGCCCCTAAACAGTATTTTTATAACTTGCTGACTTAACTATTTCAAAATTGGTCCTTGTTGATGTTAGTTTTATTAGAGACATCTATGTTTTCTTCACATCTAGAAGAGGCAAAAGCTTTTCTTTTACCCAATCTTTTACTTGTAGTTTGCTTTGATAGAGGACTTCTAGTCAGTCAGTGAGTTGTGAAAGTTAATGGAGTATGCATATGTTCTCAGGATATAATAGAACCAAGAAGTCTGTGCATCTTATTAAGATGCTTATAGATTGATATATTTATATTTTAATCATATTTAAAATTTTTGCTTGCAGCTACTCAGGAGGATTGATTAATCCTAGGAGTTTGAGTCACCATGGGCAACATAGCAACACTCCATCTCTAAAAAAAAAGAAAATTTAGCCTACTAGACAAAATAGAAGTGTAGATATATAAATCAGTTTTCTCATATTCTTTGCATGGATTTAGTAGTTACCCAACATTTTCTAAAATGTACATATTGAATAAAATGAAATATGAATAGAAGTTACATTTATTTGATGGAATGCTTTTTAACATTGTTAAAATCTAATACATTAACTATTTAGCTAAAATTTCTTATCCTTGGTTAGGCAACATGGATCTAATTAATTTTTCTTTAATTTTGATTTAAAAGATCAAGTTCTTTTGGGGTTGTACAATACATTATGTAATGTAAATATAGATCTTGCCCACCATGATGAAATATTTCAATAGGTACTAATGGAGTGAAGGCACCCCTGTTTTGGGACAAATGAGAACCAAAGAACTGATTATTTTAAATGTTATATTTAGATATAAATTAAACCTAAAATTTTTGATAAACTGACCTTCTAAGAATAGTTATATTATTTCTAGAGCTATTTTCTTTTTTATACATAAGAGATAGCCATGAGTGTTATATTTTACTTAATCAGAAATGCAGTTATTAACAGGTTAAGGAA